TGGAAAGTAGTAAAATGGCAATTTCAATTACCGTGTATAAAACTTAAGTGTTTACTGAGTGATATGCTTTTCTGACATGTATTCCAATTTAGACATTGATGTGAAATTAAAAATGCTCTAAAAATGTGACCTTTTACATAACTTTTTTTCTAAAGAATATCTTATGAAGTCTATACTTAAAAGATAGCTGAAACTGCACTTGAATTTCTAAAACCACTGACATATAATGCGTGTATTCCTAAACTTAACATTGCGATTTTTTTAAAAACATTGAGAAATTTGATCTGCTAAACATTTCAAGGATTTCCTTAAAAATAATTTACAAGGGTACACTTCATTGAATGTTCCAGTGCATAGAATAAACATTCGGAACACACACCTAAATCAACGAATGTATTGTAATTGTTATTCTACTGCAATGGTATTAACCTTCCAATTTTGGATGAAGAAGTAAGATTCGTCCTTTGAAAGCCAATGTTCGATGGCCACTAAAATAGGTTGTGCGCATACTACATTTTATTGGAGCACCTTTCAGTCACCTTTTCCAGTACTTAGATGCGAAAAGAACTGACACAAAATATTTTTTTGAATAGAATTAGTAAAATCTCAGGGAGAGTAAAAAACTGTTAATGAGAGACATATTTTCTACCAAAGAAATGGATGTAAAATACTTGAGCAAATATCAAAGATATATTTTAGATATATGTCAGACATTCAAAATTGGTAACTGGCAAACCGATTTGCATAATTGTGATGATGTGTACTTCATGAAATAATTTAAAGCAATTTTCAAATTATTATTTCTTTTATAAATGCTAACAAATTTTAAGATTCGAAGCTGTATTTTTAAAGGTAAATTTGAATTGTTTGACAATAACTTGTGAAAATGGAAATGTTTTAAAAAAAACTTATTTAACTTGGTTAAGTAAACCCACCACGTGACAATGAAAATGAAGCGCCAAAAAAAAGTGGCTAAGAGGTGAAAAATCTCCTCAAACACGGAAAAAAAAGCATAAAATAATAGTGAGAGATGTTTATTTTGAATTATTTTTCGTTATGGAGTATGGGTAACGGTAGTAACTATTCTTGCTCAATAAATTGGAAATCCAACAACAACTTTGATCCCCGTCTCAATGCATTTAGAGTTTCTCTGAGAGTGGCACTGACTGGACAAGTGGCCTCCAATTATATTGCATGTTTAATTGATTATAGTTAAGAAAAAGTGGGGATAGAAAATCAACTGTACATTTTATAAAGAGCATTTGTTGGTATATGCTTAAATGAGATTGCCAAAGGTACTGGACACCTCCGAGAAAAAAGGAACACCACTACCCATAGCACATCTTAAACGTATCGTAAACCAATCATAATGCTCTCAATCTGCACTAGAAATAACCTGCTGTCATACATGATAGAGAGCCCCATACAATTATAATGTACTATGCTGTTAGGCATTTCATTGACATGATCGCACATTTCACAGGCATTTCTCTAGCTGTCCCTACGTCATTTTCACTCTCGTACACATCAGTACCATTATGCAAACAAAAGCATGACTCGTTTGAGAACACGAAATTTGTCATTCACGATTATTCAGCTGACACTAATGGATACGGAGTCTATTTAATTTGGAGTTTTGTTTTGTTATCACTATTTTGTCCGGTTTAGAAGCTGCTACGGTCCAAACCTTTTCAGGTTACTCTGTGAAATAATATTTGGAAGAGTTATAGAACTACTGAAATTAACAAATCTAAAATCCAGCCCTCAGCTGATACTACACAGATTCATCAGAATACAAATGTTCTAAATCCAAATATTGCTGAAAGAACTGAATATTTCCCGCATGAACAAAACTATATTATCAAGATATATGTTATAAATGTAAACGTATGTTTGAATGTTTGGTAGTCTTTCACGGAAAAACACAACTGAATGGATTTTATGAAACTATACAATAATATAGCTTATACATTAAAATAACAAAAAGGCTATAATTTATAAAGGTATTGAGTGAAGTTTCCAAGTATAACGATAATCGTCAAGAAAGTAGAAAAAAATTCTGCCATCTGCAAAAACGCCCGTAAGAGCATACATCTATTTTTTGTGTGAAGCAAAGCTATCCCTTTTGTTTTGTATACGTCATGCCTCAGTGCGCGCTTGATTTTAATTTATTCCGCGTTCATCAGTGTAATCACTATATTTTATTTCATAATAAAACTAGATTTCGAAGGGAAAGGTGGTGGCAAGATTTTAACATAAAATAAAAATACAGCAAAAAATAATATTAATATGCATTACAATTCCAAATATAAATTATTTACACTATTTTAAGCTTTCATTACACTAAATTTGTAATAATGACTGTGGAAGGAAAAACTGTGAAATTAAAATAAGATATCAAAATGTTTTTATCAGATAGTTCTTATTTTTCGTTTTGAATGTTTTTTCAGTGCATGTAAATATATATCTAGGTTTTCCCCCCATTCTGTTTTTTTATAACTTACACACACACATACACACCGCACACGCACACACATATATATATGAATATGAATATATACACATATATATATGAATATATATATATATAATATATATATATATATATATATATGAATATATATATATATATATATATATATATATATATATGAATATATATATATAATGAATATATATATATAATATATATATATATATATATTATATATATATATATATATATATATATATATATATATATATATATATATATATATATATATATATATATATATATATATATATATATATATATATATATATATATATATATATATATATATATATATATATATATATATATGAATATATATATATATATATATGTGTGTGTGTGTGTATTTAGGCTTATTCTCTACAAACAAGAGATAACATCCAACAATCATATTCGAAAAACACATAGACAGTAGGAAAATCACACAATGAAGGACATTTGAGTAACCGAGACAAAAAATTATAAATGGATTCTGCAGTGTTATAAACATTGATGACTTAGGACAGGTAAATATAAAAATACTTTTTTAAAAAAAGTGGATTGAACATGTTTTTGGCCAAACCTTCCCCTTTATGTAAATAACACTGAGCAAAAACCAATAGAAAATAATGGATAGGAATATCTAAATCCATTACAAGATAGAGGTAACTTACCTAAAAAGTGTACTTACAAATGCAATGCCCGCGCTAAATCTGAGTGCAATAAATAAGTTATTGCCAGATTCTGGACCCTAATGATGATTTAAATTATGTGAAGGGCTGAAATGTAGCACTTAACAAAAGTATAAAAAGAATGGAAATAAAAATTAATAAGAGTTGCAAATTATAGCATAACTTTAATAGCACTAGAGTATAAATATGAATAAAATTATAATAAGTAATTTTATCTTATATTAGATTATGGAGATAACTATAACTATTAAAAAATTTTAAATTTATAGTAATAAACTATATCATCAATCTCAGAATTTTTTTAAACCCCAACTATTTTGAATAGCTTTATTCATATAACTATTAATAAAATTAATTGGGTATTTCTGATTTAAGCAATATTTAGTAAAATGTTTATAGTTATTATTTCTGATTTTTTTGACACCAGTAATTTATTACGTTGTATATAATTAATAAGAATATTTCACATGCACATTACTCCCCCAATGAGGAACTTTTATAATATTGAAATTAAATTTTTCTCTTTTATCATAAATATTAGAAACTATTACATTATCATTTAATTTGACAGGAATGTCAAGAAAATTTGCTTCATTGTTGTTACTATTTGTCTGTATTAAATTAAGATATTGTGAATGAAAATTAGTGTTAGGTATAAAATTGGCTTGTTTGCCAAAAATGATTGTGTCATCTATATAATAATAAATATAATATTTTTAGACTTATTAATGTAAATACTTTCAAAATAATGTAATTATAAATTGGTAATATATATATATATATATATATATATATATATATATATACGTTTATTCAAGCGTTACAAGAAAAACAATCGTTTCAATAGCCATCTATAAAATTTCTTTTACTTATTACTTATATAAAATGGATTTTAATTAATATATATACATATATTTTTTTAAAAGGATTGTTTCTTTTTTTTCATTACTAAATTATTTATTTGTTAATTAAAAAAGTACATCGTCTATTATTTCGGATAAAAATACATTTCAGAGAAATTTTTAAGCTAACTATATGTAACGATTGATTGATTCATGAAAATTTTTGAAATTTATTTTATTATTTTAGTTTCTTAGAAATTAACTATTATTAAAGAAAAGAAAATGATGAAGTTTTTTGTTTTACTCTTAGTACATCAGAATCATTTTCTTTTTATTGTGTGCTTCACATTAATAATTTTTGAAGTTATACCTCTTTTGGGGCGTTAGAGAAATAGGATGAGTGTGAATTTTTACGATGCACGCGCACACCGTCACGGATGCGAAAATGCTGTGTCCAGACATATACAGCACGGGACAGATCATTGCCGTCTTCAAAATTCTCAGAAAAATATTTCTCTTCACTTCACTTCCCTGAAGAAAAGGACAACCGGATTTGAATCGGGGACCACTTAACCTGCAGTCGAATGCTGTACCACTGAGCTATAGCCACACGGCAGCGAATGTTTACTTTGCGTTCCTTACGAACGCATACGAAAATGCTTTATCTAGAAATATACTGAACGGGACAGATCATTGCCGCCTACGAAATTCGCAAAAAAAAATTTCTCTTACTTCCCCGGGGGATGGAGCCACCCGGGGTTTTTAACGGGGACCCTGATTGAGTCGAATGCTCTACCACCGAGCTATACCCCCCCGGCAGCTAACCTTACTTTGCGTTCCATAGGAACGAATATGAAAATGTTTTGTTTAGAAATATTTAAAATGGGACACAGATCATTCCCCCGCCTTCAGATTTCTATAAAAAAAATATTTCTCTTCACTTCCCTGAAGAAGGGTACTCCCGGGTTTGAACCGAGGATCTCTCGATCTGCAGTCGAATGCTCTACCCCTGAGCTGTACCCCAGAGTCAGCAGGCATTTGCTTTCCGTATGGACGGATACGAAAATGCGTTGCCTAGAAATATACAGAACGGGACAGATCTTTCCCGCCTTCAAATTCTCAAAAAAATAATTTCTATTCACTTCCCTGAAGAAGGGGACACCTTAGTTTGAACCGGGGACCTCTCGATTAGCACAATTGAAAGCTATACCTTTCGTGTCTAAGAACCTTTGCTTTGCGCTGACTTGTGACGTCACTACTAGTAGGGATAGATCATCCTCTGATGCATTTGTTTGAACACTTTTTGTTACTAAACCAAACATACTTACAGGAAATTAAAAAAAAAATTAGTAAATTAATATTTAAATTGTGTTTCTTGTACATAAAACATAAGAGAAAATATTAGATTTCCTATTTAAATAAGAATTGCACAAGTTAATGATTATAGATGTATTTACTATACGAACGCATTGCGATGAACATAAACAAATTTATATATATATATATATATATATATATATTGCATTGTAGCAAATTATAAGAGCCTTTTGTATTCGTATATTTATTTTTGAACTTATCAGTATATTTATATTTGTATATTTTATGAGTATATTTATTTGTATATTTATATCAGTATATTTTATTCGTATATTTATATTTGAACCTCACAGTCCATTACAACCTGACTCATTCGATCCCTCTCTATCTACTCTTCCAGTTAGTATAATTTCTTGCTCATAGAACAATTTCTTGTATAGTTTTTAATTGTCTTAAACTTTTTAAATTTGGTTAAATTCACAATATCTTGGCTCCTGTTTGAGTCTCGGACTTGAGATTTGAACCAAGTGTTTCACACGTCGAGATCCATCTAGTCATCTGCTTCATTTCCATTGTATAATCATGGGGAGAGAGCTTAAGTACTAAAATATAATGCTCCCATGTTAATCCTATGAGGACTGGAAAAAATTTCATCCCCCCCAAGTAAATGAGCTTGGAATTTTATTTTTGCATTTCCGCCATATTTTCGTATTAGCGCACGCTTTACGTGGGATTGGCCCCTTCCCCCTACAGGGCTTCCCCAGAAATAACTCGAATCCTATGCCACCTTGGTCAACCGCACCAGCTGGATTCGATTGTTCTTCCTATGAGCATCCTATAGTGTTTCAGGAACACATAGCCCCATTTCTTTACCCATATTTAACATTTTAAAATTATTTTAAAGTTATAATTTCTTTTTTAATCCCGCATAGCTCAGAAAAATTTTGAGATTTGTTAATGAAACTCGGACCCCAGATTCTCCTCGTTGAGCTGTTTCATCTGTTATAATTCCTGTGTAGACAGTGGGCGTAAATTATTAAAGTAGTGTTTTAATGTTAAATATAAAATAGAAAACAGCATATTTAAAAAAATAGAAGTTTACGGCGTTATTTTTTTTATTTATGCCTATACAAATTTTAAATGTGTTTTGATAAGGCTTTAATTTTTAAGATGTGTTTTCAAATCCCTAAGGCTTTTTTCTATTCAAGATACAGTTTAAAATTTTTTGTAGATACTCCCAATTATACATTCTGAAAAATTTAGTATGGGTTTTAAGCCTGGGAGTTCTAGTTATTTTTTTTAAAATCTTTAAATTAATTCCTTAAAGAAAAAAAAATTTTTCTATGTTTATCTATAAAAATAAATATTTAAATTCAACAAGGAAAGATATTTTTAATCCCATACTAATTTTTGTTTCCTAAAATATAAGAAACATAGTTTAATATATTATTTTAAATTTTAACATTTTTTATAATAGTTTAAAAACTTCAAAAATGTTTAATTTTTAAAAATAGGAAATATTCGCTTGTCAAACTGTTTTTATTTTCAGTATCCATTTAACAATATAATCTGAATATAAACATAAATTATTTTAACTGTTACTGTCTCCAAAAACATTTTTCAAAAAAAAGTACTGCATAGTGCTATTTCTAAGGTTCTTAAGCCTTCGTTAAAGTGATAAAATATATGAATTATTTTGAAGATGATTATTTTTTTTCCATGTACTGAAGATGAATTTTAACTTAACTCAGTGGCGTGACAGCCCATGTGGGCCAAGGCCTACTGTGCCCAACTCAGTATAAGCAACCTTGGGCCCTGGTTTACATGAGCAGATGTTTCGGCCAGGTGGTCACTCTCTGACGTGAAACCCCCAGTGTTAAGTTTCCTAACAAGCTTGGTACTCATTTATCAACCCATTGAAGAGATGAAAGGCTGAGTCAACCTTGCCCAGCCTGAGGTGAAGAGGAATTTTAGCATCACGCCAATTAGAGATTTATCAGTCTTAATTTTCAAACTAAATGTTACATTTAGTATATCAATACAACTAAAAATTATGAAATATTTTTAATAGAAATATTTAAACATTAATTTGGTATAAAAAAAAAACAAATCTGTATAAATAGTGCGGAAAGCAATTTGAATGCTTTATCTTAATACATACGGCAACCAGTATAGGATTAAAAGAACAGTATTTATTTCATACGGATAAATGATATTACAAATACTCCTTCTCTTCAAGAAGTGAGAAATAAAGAGTTCAAAATACTTCTACATCTTTTTCCAAATTGAACATTTGTTTTGTTCATCACAGCTTCATAAAATTTATATTCCAATACGATTATATAAAATAAATAAGAATATAGGAAATGTTCAATTGTGAAATTATTTACAAATTTCGAACTATTAAAACAAATAAAACTAAACAAATTCTTTGTGGCACGTTTTTAATATTTTTCATTACATAAACATTGATAATTCTTTATCAATCTGACCTCTGAATTTGAATCTACGTATTAAAATAAAATAAAACTAATTTGATATTAAACAGTATTAACAGACTAACCAATTACAACGAATGTATTATATTTCGTAACATTGTTTTAAAACAAGAATTTCAAAATTCCTTAAAAAAAAAGTGAAAAATATTCGGATTTTTTTTTTAACAAAGAACAAAAGTTTTTGAATTTAGTAAGATGTTCAAGAATCCAATTCCAATGCTTATTTTTCTAAGATAAGTACAAGATAATATTGTTCAAACAATTGAAAAGAGATTATATAACAGAGAAAACGTTGTTAGAAATATTACTAAACAAACATTTACACGTTTGTTTCAAAACCATGTGACCAATCATTAATTTTCCATAGTTAGATCACTACAAATAAAAAAAGGATTTCCATTTATCATTACTTCGCTCATATGTATCCAAAAAAAAAAAGAAAAGAAATAGAAATTTTAAGGGCGTTACTTACAGATTTGCTCCGAATAACTTGTTCCAAAGAAACGACAGTATATAAGCATAAATGAAAACGAGAACAAGAGGTGGGCATTATTTACACTACCTCTTTGGCTATTTTGATACATTATTCTCTGGTTTGGAATAAATAAAACTGCAATGTCTTCTAACAAGCAGTCACATAAAAAGAAAATTCCAAGTGGCTTTCCATGATACTCTTAAGTCGTTACGTTCACTATTCATTTGAAAAGCAAATAACCACAATCAAAACAAACTATCCAAAGAATTCGTCCATCCAAAGTTAAAATCTATTAAAAACAATAACAAAAGGGAAACTTCTTTTCCCCTTAAATACGTGAACAGAAAAATAAGGTGCTTTAATGAGCTAGCTATTAAATAAAACACCCTTCTGTACGTTTTTAAATGTTTTTCTTTCAGGTTTCTGTGATTATTGGATTAATATAATAAAAATTGCTTGCTGTAAAAGAAAAAAAAATGTAGCTGAAACAAACATAATGCGCTTCTCTTTTTTATTGAGGGTTGAATATAAGGTATCACTGTACTCTTTTTAAATAATTAGGCTATTTTTCATATAATATATTCATAATAGATATTCAAAAAAAAAAAACGAACAAGTTTTTAGTATCGAAACTGAAAACAGTTTTTTTTCCAATTACCCAATAACGTGGAAATGATTTTAATATATTGAAGTTTATATATATGTGTAAACTTATTTCGGTATAAGTGTGTATTAAATTTTAAAAAAATAAAAAAAACGATATGTAGCAATTCCTAGTCCTGTAATAATTTTTGGTACAAAAATTTGAGATCGTCTGCTCTGACTGAAATGTAGCAGACAACTTGAAATTTCGTCGTTAGAGATCATTGGAAATGATTGTTCTACATCAACACGTATTGTTCTGGATCAGTCATAGCTTTATCATTTTGAACATTTCTCTGCATCAAAAAAAATACAGCCCAACGTTAATGCAAAAAACTCCATCAAAAGCATTTTAAAGAATAATTTAAGATATAGAATTTTTGGTAGTAGCTATTTTTATTTTTATTTATCAATATTTCCTGTGTTTCGAATAATATTTCTAACTCTGATGTATAATATATATTAAAATATTCTTGTTTATATGTAATAATTCGCGTTAATTTTTCCTTGAATGTTTTCTTTAATTCATAATGGTTCTGAGCTCTGTAAAACTTCGCATAATAATCAACTGCCAGTTTACCAGCCTAACGGGATATAACCATAACCTTATATCTTCAAACCTAAAAGTTAAATGTTTTTAAATTAAGAATCGTGCAACCTAACACCATATGTGTAGCGGGATCAATCAGAAGAACCTTTACCGGAAATCATAGGATTTTAATAACTTCCGATTGTCTATCGTTAGAAATAAACGGAGATTTCAACATAGACAAGTCTGTTTCCACATGGGATTGTTTTGCATACTGCGTGTGTTAATGTCTTATTTTGTGTGCTGCTATTTGTGTAATGTTTGTGTGTGTGTTTTCTACGTAACCCAATAAAGTGAAGATTTAAAAGCACCCCAAGCCTCATCAGTCCTTTCAATGGCTTAATGTGTGTGTGTGTGAATTTCTCTTATTTCATTTAAAGTTGCCATACATTCAACCGACTTACTTTACTTCATATATATACTGATACACATACTGAACTAAACTCAGTTTCGCAACAGCCCATAAAATTCAAGGCCTACTGTATCTATCTCATTTTACATA